AGTGGCATCATTGGGCCATTATATTTCGACAATAAGCAAGGAATTGACATTCTAGTCAGTTGGCGAGTGTCACCGAGTTGCTCAATGAACTTGCGTTCCCAAAAGTTCAAGGGAATTGCATGGATGATATGAAGTTTTAGCAAGGTTGAGCAACCGAAGTAGCAATCGAACTTATGGGCACCGTTTTCTAAGATCGAATAAGTAGTGTTATGCTAACCAGCTAGAAACAACTGAGGCATTGAAAAACGATCTAAAACTTTCCACTTTAGGAATTCAAGCCCAAGTATTAGGAAAACGAAATATATCGATTTTAAGTTTTAAAAGTCCAAGATGGATATTTAGGTGCAATTTAAAAGGAATATATTTTTTATATCCATTTGAAACGCTGAATGCGATGTCGGCCATGATGTGACGTCATAAAAATTGTAAACCAAGAAACGTCATCCGTATATCACTCGTGGACTAATATATTCTTTATGTTTTCTCGTTTTTTAAAAAGAAAAAAACGTAGAAGCAGAAAGCATAAATTTGATACATTGATGGTTTGTAATTTTTTCGCCTTCAACCCAGATTTCTACTCTGTTGAGCTGAGGAAAATCAAGACTTTAATGTAAGTACATCTGATATGATGTTAGGCATCAGAAAGAACAAGAAATACACTTACACAGTCTTCCTTTTTGGATGTCATTCAACGCAACTTTTATCTAATATAACTGCAAAGTGAGCTTCGCAAAAATAAATTTCAGTTGCATTCGATAAAGATTCAGGATCCCTTTGAGAAAGTGTTAGCTAGGTGTTGTGGATATTTATTTCTCTGGGTACTCTAATCCACAGTTTTCCTTGTATCTTTATCGATGTGTTTTTACATTCTCGGTCGACATATATTTCAAAGTTTGAGGGGCTGTGCTGCTGTCAGGTGCTGCTTACAAATGGTATGACGTCACACATTATTCTATGGGCCAAACATGGCACACGCCTGTCTAAGAAAAATATGTTTTTAAATTGAAGTTTTACGGTTTCTTAGATCTCAAAAACTGTAGCATTATTTTTTACTAATAGAGGAAATATTAACTATTTAAGATCCACTAAAAAAAGTGTGAACTACCCTATTGAAAATTACTTGAAAATTGGATTAATCCGATGAGGTACTGTCGGACCATGAGAGTCATTTGAATTATATCGTATTTTATTCTTAAGGCTCAACATTTCTAATGAAACCAGAAATTTGAAAAAAAGCTCATTTATTTCTTTATGGACATTTGCATTTCCAAATTTCATGTGGTGCACCCTATAGGCACCTTTAATATTCCGGGATAAGAAAAGTTCCCAGACGTCTAGAATTCATCTCTAGGGGTGAAAATTGAGTTTTGGATGTCAGATGCTGGAACATGGTATTAATAATAATAATAATAATAATAAATTGCTTTTATTGCTCATGTAAGTACAGAAAAAGAAAAAAGTACATAAATCTGATGCAGTGAGCAAACGGCAAGGTTCGCTTGATTGACAAGCATTAGTTATCAATCCGCGCTCTTCCACCTAACCAAAAAAAAAAAAGTAGTATATCAGTAATAATGATAACAGCAAGAGAAAATTTAAACGTTAACACAGATACATATAGACATATGTTTTAAAACTATATATCATATTATACATCCATAGATGACATATAACTGTTGCAGGCACCTTGGTAAAACCTATAATATAAAACGAGTTGATGCTTGAATGAGATTGCTAGAAGTTGTAGCTAATATCTTATGAAGGGAAAATGTCAAAGTTCAAACGAAAAAGACTCCTTGACTTTGTCTGGTTTCTGGGCAACCAGGACTGACAGATTCGAATAACGTACATCAGACAGTGAGTAATGGGCAAAGGTCCTACGGACCGCCCAGACAAATAAATGACGAATAGTACGAAAAAGACATACAGAAGAATAATTGGCAAATCAGCGTGCAGTGTTAAATTTAAGTCATCTCAAGTCTCAACATAGTCTTCACTTCTCGCTTAAATCTCAAAATTGATAGGGCTTTAATTCTATCAGGCAGCGAGTTGTAAACCTTAACAATGTCATATGAAAAAGAGCACTTATAATTTGAAGTTTTAAATTTAGGTAGTGAGAGATGATGTTTAATCCTCGTGTTACGACTATGCACTTCTGTACGGGTCTTGATCTTCTTGTAAAGATAGGATGGTGATTCAGTATTGAGTATCTTGTGGTATAGTACGGATCGATGAAGGAACCTTCTTTTCTCTATATTGAGCCAACCTAAGTTCTTTAAGTGAAGAGATATCGGCTGCCGCCTTCTAATACCACTAACAAACCTGACACAAGAATTTTGAATACGCTGAAGGCGCGCCTTATCTCGATGTAGCAATGACGGGCCGTACGCGCAGTCTGCATAGCTGAGGTGAGAAAGAACTAAAGACTCGCACAATATTATTTTTGTTGTCTTGGTTATTATGCTTCTGCTATTGTATAGCATTTTCAATGATGAAAATGCCCTTTTGGTTATAAGAGAGACATGCTGGGAAAAGCGTAGATCTGTATCCATAATAACCCCTAAATTTTTAGCGGAGTTTGTAAAAGTTATTTTGTCTTGTCCGAAATAAATATCTAAATTATTGGAGTATTGTTCACGATTCTTGTTTTTACCAAATAGTAGAGCCTTAGATTTAGTGGCGTTGACGGAGAGACAATATTTTTTTGTTAGCTGATAAAGAACCTGAAGGTCCTCATTTATGTTACTTAAAGTTCGGTTTATATCTGATTCATTAAAAGCAATATATAATTGAGTGTCATCGGCGTAATAGTGATATGAGACGTGTTTAAAACTTTTGTGCAGCTGAGAGGTATACAGAGTGTACAAGAGTGGACCTACAACAGATCCTTGAGGTACACCTCGACAAACTTTAGACAATTCGGATGTTTCACCAAAGCATTTGGCAACTTGTGCCCGATCTTTGAGATAATTTCTTAATAAATGAACCGCACTTTTAGAAAAACCCAAGTAGTGAAGAACAGCAATCAGTAGATCATGGTTTAGCTTATCAAAAGCCTTCGAAAAATCTAATAAGATTAAGATGCATAGGTTGCCATCATCAATGTATAACAGCAATCAGTAGATCATGGTTTAGCTTATCAAAAGCCTTCGAAAAATCTAATAAGATTAAGATGCATAGGTTGCCATCATCAATGTATTTGCGGATATCATCTGTTACTTTGAGCAAGGCTGTTGTGCAGCTGTGACCTGATCTGAACCCTGATTGGTTTTCTGGAAGAATGTCATTTTTAACAACAAAGTCCCTCATTCTAGCATCCAAAATCATTTCGAAGACCTTTGATGGAGTACATAGGATGCTGATGGGTCGAAGGTCGCCCAGATCTTCAGGGTTGCTCTTTTTTGGTATGGGAATTACTTGTGCAAGCTTCCAAATTTTGGGTATTACATTGAATTTTAGACAATAATTAAAAATATGCGTGAGATATGGTAAAATTGTAGGGCAGCTGTACAGCAGCATGCTGATACTTATACCGTCGGCACCAACGGCTGTTGATTTCACTGAAAGCAATTTTTGATATACTTCATTGTCATTAGTGTACGAAAACTCAAATGCTACATGAGGGAGTTGCGTATCGGAGAAGAATCGAAGAGTGTACTCATCAGGTTCATTATTATCACCCGAGATGGATTGCATGAAGAAGTTATTGATTTGGTTTGCAGTTCCTAGGTGTTGAGGTAGTGAATTCTGTTTTTTATTAACTATATTCAATTTTCCGAGTTCTTTCCACATGCGGTTTTTATTTAATGCAACTTGTTGCTCAAAATATACTTGCTTTTCTTTGTTAATCGCGTGGTTAATTTTGTTCTTTAGTGTATTATAGCCTAACCAATCATTGTGATTCTTTGTACGATGATACTTTCTTAGTGTCTTATCTCTTAGTTTCATCATTTGTTTCAAATTATAGGTAAGCCAAGGTGACCTTTTTCTAGATATGCGGACTGTTCTGATAGGAGCATGAAAATCGAAAATATTTAACAGTAGTTCATTCAGATAATTCACTTTCATATCTATATCCTTAAGCAGATATATTGGACTCATGTCAACATTATTCAGGTGATTTGTAAAAAGCTCATAATTAAAATGTTTAAAGTCTCTATATGTGTAAAGAAAAGGTACAAAAGTATTCTTTGAAAGTGTAACCTCACATGAAACTAGGGCATGATCAGATATCATAGAGCAGTCTAATGCATCGATAGCCGAGATGTTTAGTTCATTTGTGCAGATAATAACATCTAGCAACTTTGAGGACTTAGGTGTACATCTAGTGGGTTGTTCAACTATCTGCTTCAAATTCAAAACGTCTACCAGGCTTAGTAGCTGTCTACTACAAAAATTGTCATCCAAAAGGTCGATGTTTAGGTCTCCTGCACATAAGATATAATCATGATTAGGAGCAAGTGTGGACAACGTTACTTCCAAATTGTCTATAAATTGGTTCACGGGGTAATCTGGGGGTCGATATAAAGATCCTACAGCAAAATTTTTCTGGTTAATGCTTACGGTGATCCATAGTTGCTCAGTATCATGATACTCAATATTATTTATAACTTTGCTTTTAAGGTGATTTTTGACATATAAAGCTATACCTCCACCTCTCCTGTGGTGACGATCACCTCTATACAGTGTATACCCTTCGAGACTGATGATATCATCAGGAATGTTGTTATTTAACCAGGTTTCCGATAGTGTTATGATATCATACTTGTTAAAAAATGCATCTTTAAAATAAGCGTATTTGGCTGTGAGGGACCTGATGTTTAGATGACAAAAGATGAGAAACATTACGTTGAACAATTTCAAAATAACACAATATAATGTACTAAAAAGAGTTAAAAAGTAATATGGCGTACAAGGAAATGATAAATATTATAGGAGATTAAAAAAAAGCCACACAGCACCACCAAAAACACTCGATTCGATTTCATCCATACACTCTCTCAGTTTTGTTTGGAGTCTTTATTTTTGCTCGATGTAGGATTACTGTTGATCCTAGGTCTTAACTGCTTAGCGACTGGCTCTGCACTTTGAGTTATCTTCCTTTTGCTTGTACTCTTAACTATTTCTGTTATAAAGATATCTTGTTCCTCCTTACCTTTAGCTTGATCTTCAGCAACTTCATGTGGTGTATTAACATCTGCACTAGCTTTCTGACCTACAGTGAACCCTTCTTGAAGACCTGTTTCAATTTCTTCTTCCTCGTCTGAACTTTTTTCATCAGCAATCAGTTCGTGGGCTGTAAATTCTGTACCATTCACGACTAGCTTTCTGTTTTTTATAAATGCATTTTGATTTTGTTTCCTTGCTTTCTTGAGTTGCTGACGCAAAATTTTTTGTTCCTTTTGCTCTTCAGGAGTGAGTTCAACACCAATAGCGATGTTTGTACCTTTTAATTTTTTGCAGTTCCTAAGGATTTCTTTTTTCTTTAGGTATGACACAAGTTTCAGGATTATGGGTTTGTTACTGGTTTGCTTCCCTATGGTATAAACATCGTTGATATCGCTGGGAACCAACGATAGCTCGAGTAGGCTGTTGATTTTGCCAATAACAAAGCTAATCAAGTTACAATCACTGGGAGCATTCAAACCAAACACTATCAAGTTGTTCTTTTTAAGCTATTTTTGCAGTTTTTCATACTGGACTTTCAGTTCATTATACTTCTCTTGAATTTCAGAAATTTTCTGATTAAGTTTATCGTTTAGTTGTACCGAAAGTGAGTCAATCTCGCTTTTTATGTATTCTTTGATTTCAGTAGACTGTTTTGAATTTGCTTCTTCGATTACCCTTCTACTGCTCTCTTCCGTAATTTTGATCAGCCTTTCCAAAAATTCTTCATTGTTCATTTTTTGGGAGTCTAGTTATAGCGCTCGGATGTCTGTGGTTAAACGCAAATTCACTTTTTACTAGTCTAGTGTTTACGTTTTGTTGTATATGTGCTGGACGTATGGCAGTAATTGTAACTATATTATTGATGAACTTTTTGGCTTACCCTCACAGTATCACCTCACTTATCGACAAAACATTTAGCACAACAAATTTCAAAATAATCTGTTGCGTTGTTCTGACGTACATAGAAATATTACGGTCTGTCACACGGATCACGTCCTTTCTCTGTGTTACATTTACAAAAACAAGTTTACGTTTAAGCATTTATTTACAGCAATCATGCAACGCAACATCTTTACATACTTACCATATACAATTATTTGCGATACAGGAGCCATTCTCTTAGCAGCGATGTTTTCTGCAACACAAGTGTAGTTCCCGGTGTCCTGAGGTCGTGCTTGACCAATAAGGAGGTGACCTTCGCTGGTGACCAGCACATCGGTATCCGATTGGAGCAGTTGATTTCCTCGAAGCCAATAAACGCGAGGTGGTGGCATGCCAGATGGAGCAACGCATTTGAGGTCCACTTGGTGGCCGATTTCGACCATGTATTTGGGTTCTGGGTTCACTTCGAACTGCTTCTTCAAGTCTGCAAAGAAAAAAATGGGGTAAATTAGGTTGACCCCGCACTTCCCACGCAACGCTGTTAAGGATTACGTTCAACACTAGTTAGTCTCCCTGAGCTATAAACATGTATAACAAAAAATTAAATGGATCAAGTCAGTCGGACGGGCCATAGAATTGGTCCATACTCCATAGTCCCCACCATTTAATAATGCTAACGCTAGTTTCTTCCCTGCCTTAAGCATCGACCATCTTTCGACGGTCCTCCGTGCTATAAGCGCCAGCCACGATACTCCAGATCTAGGACGTCAGCGATGCAGTCTGGTGCATGAAGGCCTTTATCGCCCCGACCAACCGCGTGTACAGTCTGTGAATATTTCTCCAAGTTTTAACGACAAATTCAGTGAAATCTATGATGTTGAAATAGGTCAGTGAAATTGTCGGGGTTGGATAAATATATCGCCATCAAAAAGATGAGATATTACACCCTACAACCCCCAACCCCCGACTTTCAATCCTTACATTTTTTTTCTGAAAACGATCAGAAGCCTCTGAAATCAAAAAATGAAGTTCGACCAATTTTTATTTTTCTCGTTTTTTGCCCTTCACGCTGCTGCCACTGGACCGATTTTTAAAAACTACAAAGCTTTTTGGTCCTTGACATAGCAGTTGTCTTGTGTGGAACTTCATCAAAATCCGACCGGTATTTTATAAACGGGCCAACGATTAGCGGACAGACAGACCGATGGAAATAAGTGATATGGTTTTTCGTTATGCACATGTCATTTAACATCCAAAACACAAAATATCTCATTTTCGATGTTTCTCGCAATTACAACACTTCCTCACCAGTAAGGAAGCAAAAATAAGATAAAAAAAAGAAGACGGTAAGATATTCTATACAGGGTTATCCAAATTAAGTGTCCACCATTAGTAACTTTGTTATTAGTGAAAATACAAAGTTGTTTGAATTAGCAAACTAGTAGCATTTTTAACGCTGGTAAAAAATGAGAAATAAAAAAAAACAATTGAGAGTCGTTATTTTGATTTTTTTCAGTAAAATAACATTTTTTTAAATGGAAACCCCTGTATATTATATTTTTTTCTGTTAAAGCATCAAATTTTAAAAAAAAAAGCTTACAATAACTTTTCTCCTAGGTTACAAATTGTTGAAGTTATGGCCTCCAATCTGAAACAATTAAATTGTATCGACAAACTTTATTTTCAACATCAACTTATAATCTTACAAAATACAATAACAATTTTTTTTAAAGAAGATGCTCGAAAACACCACCTTGTTCTTCAATACATTTTTGGGCACGTTTTTCAACTGCTCGAACTGTCTTAAGTATGGTCCTACCATCTATCTGGGTTATCTTTTCCCTAACTGCAGTCTTTAACGCGTCAAGGTTATCGTACCTTCGCTTGTAAATTTGGTTCTTTAAGTAACCCCACAAGAAGTAATCAAGTGGGTTTTAGATCTGGTGATCTGGGAGGCCACTGTATTGGGCCATTTGTTCCTATCCACTGATCATTAAAAGTAGTACTTAGAAAATGATAAGTACCTCTGGAGTTGTGGGCAGGTGCGCCATCTTGCTGAAAATGCAGATGATGTCTACTTATAAGATCCAATTCGTCTAAGAAATTAGTCAGAATTTCTGACATAAATTCCACATATCTTTCACCAGTTAGGGTTCCCTCATAAAAGAACGGGCCAACAATTTTTGAACCAATTATACCGCACCAAACGTTGAAACTGAAACGGACTTGTGGGCCTCTTGGATGTACTAACAAAAGATTTTCTCTTGACCAATAATGGTGGTTTTTTCTATTAAACATTCCAGAATTTGAAAATTTGATTCATCTGTCCATAAAAGGTAACGAAAGTTATTTACATTTTGGCGACAGAAGCTAAGATACCAATGGCAAAAACAAGTCTTCTCTCTGGATCCCCTGCCAAAAGCGTTTGAACTGGTCGGTACTTATACGGAATAAATTTGTATTTTTTTAAAATCCTTTGAACAGTACCATAACTGAAATTAGAGTCCTTGAGAATATCTGCTATTGAATTCTCACGATAAGCTTCAAAATATCCAATAACTGCAATTTCCGTGGCCTCGCTTATTATGAATTCTTTTTTTGCCCTTGTTTTAGCAAAAACATTTTCGTTGCCCCTAAATTTTCGATAAAGTCTCAGAAAATATCGTTCATACGGTTGAATGCGAGCGGGATATAATTCACTGTAGTTATTCTCTTGCTCTCAAGGAGGATTTTCTGCACACTAAATAGCATTCTAACATATCACACTTTTCTTCATGGGAGAACATTTTTCTTTAAATTAATGACACAATAAAGCTTATAAACAAGTATTTACACTAATGTTTGACATTATTTGATTTTATCATTGTTTTCCAAAGCCTTCTAGTTGCGAGTATGTCCAGTTTAACAATTTGTCGCTTATCTTAATGCTGTCAAATCGCGAACGCCATGTTGTTTTCATAGCCGTCTTAATATTATAATACTGCAAATAATTAAAAATATTTATCGTTATTTTGACTTTATTTTTGACTTTAGCGGAAAAGTCATTATAAACTTTTTTGTTTAAAATTTGATGCTTTAACAGAAAAAAATATAATATACAGGGGTTTCCATTTAAAAAAATGTTATTTTACTGAAAAAAATCAAAATAACGACTCTCAATTGTTTTTTTTTATTTCTCATTTTTACCAGCGTTAAAAATGCTACTAGTTTGCTAATTCAAACAACTTTGTATTTTCACTAATAACAAAGTTACTAATGGTGGACACTTAATTTGGATAACCCTGTATATTCCGAGATACGGAGGGAGTAGTATCACCTCGATCGTCGGAAATTTACAGGTAACGAACCCTGCCTTTAATATGCAGCTGTACTTGGTATACTGGTTTGTTTTTCGAATTGTTCTATTTATAAATTTCTGCGATAATGGCAGATTTACTAATTTCTGCCCCGTGAGAAAACGATGAACTTTGGCTAACTGACTGTCATCCGATTCAGGTGGGGTGATTTCTACGTAATAGCTGTGCCACTTAGCTACAATTTCCTGACTATTTTTCAACTCTACCACCAAAGTGATGGTTATAAAAAACTAGTCTTGCATCAATAGTTAAAACTTTGTAGCACTCCTCGTATACGAATTGGTAGAGACCTTTGAGGAACGACCCCAAATATGTCATAATTAACTCTAATGATTTAAACTGCTGATAAGTACGCCCCGGCATCATTTTTCTTGTCATGGGAGTCTGACATTGTACAGTTTTATCTCGTTTATTAATTTTGAGTCGGGGGTTATCTAGGGTACGCCACACAGTTACACATTCGTTATTAATCGATTCTTTTTTGTGTTGACGTCCCGTCATCCTGAGATGAATCGAGGTTCATGCACAAGTCACCTAGCATCTTTCACACTTGTTTTTATGTCATTTATGGTGTGTTGATAATGCCGCATTCATGCACTAGATATCTCAAGCAATAAACAGACCCAAACTTTTGTAGATAGATAAGGCTCCATTCATTTCTCCCGGACATCTAAAATTTACAAACATTTTCATCCAATTCCTCTCTTCGGCCAAAACTTTTTGGATATCATATAATTTGTCCTAATTGTGAGATTCAATCAAATTAAGATGCTCATCATAATTTTTAAAGCCTAAATAATGAGGATAAGGCAGCTGTTTGTTCTTCCAATTTAAAGTATAGATCTTTATACCAAACTTTTTCAAATGCTTGGGAAACATCGAGAATTGCAGCTGAGCAGTATCATTTGTTGTTAAAATCTGCTTCAATTTTATTCACGATTCTGTGCACTTGCTCAATAATAGCATAGGCATTTCTTCCGGAAACCAAATTGATGGTCTGGTATTAATTCAGTTTTTTCAACAATTTCCAGCAATCTTCCTATGTATACTTTTTTTGAGAGCACCGGCAGTAGGCTTATGACGCTATGAGGCGACTTCCTTGATGTTCTTTCCTGGTTTGACGATCATTTCCATCTGGGCAACCCTCTGTTTCCGACCTGGTGCGGACAAAGGCAACTGTCAACACATCTTTGGCTCGAGATTAACTTCCGAGGCGGAGATTCGAACCCGCGAGCCTAGGGTCGACCGATTAGTAGCTCGACGTGCTAACCACATGTGCGTACCTAACATACATACTGTCTCACCTTTATGTTTCTCTCTCTGTGCTAAAACAGCCCTTGAGACAGTAATTACTACTATAACTACTACTATTTTGCAAACAAATGATATTCCAAAGTCCCCATCAATACATAGAGTATTCAACGCTAATTATAAGCAAGGTTCGTAACTAAAACGGTATCAATATTCTGTTATATCACAATACTGCCACGGCATATTAGAGTCCAGTTGAATAATTGATAATACGCAAGCGGATAGATTGACTGCAGTAATGGCACTGACGGTTTATTAATAAATTATCCAATCGGAAACTTAGAACGTTGGACTGTGCGAAATGTATACAGAAGCAGTCGCAGCAAAACTTGTATACAGACTACGGTCACTAGGGTCCCTCTGCGATTAAACTAGTTTCTTCCTAATGACGAAAACTAACAGTTACAAGTAGTTCCCATGCGTAGGGAACATTCAATATACCTTAACTGGTAATTCTGTTCACTGCGGCAGTGGTCGATTCTGGTAATAGATGCCACTTGTGCCCAAGCGTTTCGATATACCTTGACTGGATTATGAATAAGTCGGATCCACAGAGCGCTCCGTAGTCCCCGCAGCCAGTGTAGATTCCTCCTTTAGCTGGAAAGCAATAGTTTCTTAAAACGCTTAGAGAATCATGTCCTAGGGCATTAAATGATTGGTTTAAGTATTTACGTTGCCGTGCAAATGCTTTAAGTTCACCTGGCTTATCTTGGCAAAGATGCTTTTTTATATGTTACCAACATAATTTCGGTCAAGAAAGATGGCCGGTCGCGATCTACGGCATGATTTCTGCCTTGGTAGCTTCCAATAGCAAAAA